TCATCTTCCAGTATGGACCAGGCTCCATAGATTGACCATATCTTTTTTTCAGGCGATGTTATGAATCTAAAATGGCAACTGTATCTTTGCCAATGGCTTATTCTTTTGGTGTCATTGATACCACTTGCTGTATGTGTCAAACTACAGGCCAAACAAAACAGTTGTCAAAATCCTGCAAACACTGAAATAAATCTGTATGGCTTAAAAGAACCAGCTGCACTGTGACAGCCTCTAAGCTCATCTTTCAAGGACCCCCAGTTTCTCCCAAGAGACCACGAAGGAACTATTCTCTACATGCTTGTTGAAGAAGCTGTTTTAGTCAAAAGCTGGTTTACCAGCTCAACAAACTGTGCCTGTAGGGATTGTGCCTGTATGGATTTCCTCCTGTACAGAAGTTCTGTACCCTTTATAACTTCAGTACCGAGTTTGAACTTTCAGTTCCAAATTGAATCATTTGTAAGATCATCAGAACAGGGTCTGTCTTTTTGTTATGTTTGTACAGTGCCTAGCACAATTGGGTTCTAGTCTATTGCTGGGGTACCACAGTATAAATAAATCATCATCACCATCAAACTTTCAACTATCAAGATAATTTTGTCTGGTATGAAAGCCAGATAATGAGATAGCATCTACCTCTTCTAGTTGACATCTGTACCACTACTTTGAATAAGAACTGACAATATCAGAAAGAAAAGGAGGTAGAATAATTGCTTCTTCAATTTGTTTCCTCGCTGCCTGCAATTTAATCTAATTTTTACGTTTTTCTGTCTGCAATCCTTCTTGAACTTCATTCCATATTTCAATAGGAGTATAGCCGCTGAGTCTGATTCTTAATTCACATCAGTTTTACAGCTGTCAACTCCTCCACTTACATAGTGGAGTTACTCCTATTTTACACTGCTGAATGTGACATCAGGATAACTATATTTATGCACTTTATCCAAGACAAGGGCAATAGGATTTAATGTATTTCAATTTAATTAAATAATTTGTCCTTTAAACATTCTTTATACTTTATGATTTTCTGTACAAATTGTTATATTGATAGGCCAGTTTTTAATAAGCTGTCCAGAATGGCCAGTCACTGAATTTTATTGTACATCCTGAGAGAGAATATGATTCTACTTACCTGCCTCTAGTAAGTTGATAGATAAGGTGGATGAGGTAATATCTTTGGTTGGGCCAACTTCTGTTGGTGTGAGAGACAAAGTTTCAAGCTTACACAGAGCTTGAGTTTGTCCCTTTCACCAACAAAAGTTCGTCCAATCAAAGATATTACCTCCCCCACCTTGCCTCTCTGATATCCTGGCTCTGACACAGCTACAACAACACTGCATGTGTCTAGTTAATTGAGCGGTTATAATTATTCCTTGTGAATGTATTATCCGATAAATTTTGCCCTTTTCCTACTGTGCATTTTTCAGAACTGATCTTGATTTAGGCAAATCTATCTATCTATCTATCTATCTATCTATCTATCTATCTATCTATCTTCATTCATTCATTCATAAATCAAAATCAGTTTATATTTGTATTTGCTAAATAGTCTGGAAAAAAATCAAGCCTATGAGTCATTAGTGAAATGTTTGCTTTTACTAATTGGTATTCTTTAGTTCTAGTGTGTGATTAGTCACCCAAGTCACACTGTATTGTCCCTAGTCCCTGATTGGATGACTGAATGTATAGTATAGTATGAATACTGAACAAAACATGGTCAAACTGAAAAGCCATCTTGAAAATGAATGAATGTATGTTTATGAACACTGTTTCTTCAATATTCTAAAGCTGATAAAAGGCAGGCTATTATCAAAGTAATCTGCAATTTCAAGTAAGGATGAAATTGGGTGTTTTGTTTTTTTTAGACTGATTTTGTTTTTTAGTTGTTCCTTTATGTCTCTCACACTTTTCATTATAATGAAATATTTGGGATGAAAGCAGACAGGGCCAGTTCCTGAGGTCCAGTTATAACTTGGTCATTGGCTTCAAAGATTTTAGACCTGAAGGCGTGATTGTGTGTGGTGTTTAGTGTTTGCGTTTTAAATAGTTGTGCAAGTAACTGCTTTCTGTGCACAAGTAGGAGAAGAATGGTGCACTTGCCATGGATAAGTATCATTTAGGGAAAATGTTTAGATAGAACAGGTGACTAAAACCCTGTTTTCACTAATTTGTCATATTTTCCTGGATGTATTTTATTTAGGGCTGTCAATTAATCGCAGTTAACTCACGCCAATAACTCAAAAAAATTAATTGCGATTACAAAAAATTAATTGTGATTAATCGTAGTTTTGATTGCACTGTTAAATAATAGAATACCGATTGAAATGTATTAAATATTTTTGGAAGTTTTTCTAGATTTTCAAATATATTGATTTAAATTACAATACAGAATACAAAGTGCACAGTGCTTTATATTATTGTTTATATTCCAAATATTTGCACTGTAAAAATGATAAACAAAAGAAATAGTATATTCATCTCATACAAGTACTGTAATGCAATCTCTTTATCGTGAAAGTGCAACTTACAAATGTAGATTTTTTTTACATAGCTGCACTCAAAAACAAAACAATGTAAAACTTTAGAGCCTACAAGTCCACTCAATCCTACTTCTTATTCAGCCAATCACTAAGACAAACAAGTTTGTTTACATTTAGAAGAGATAATGCTGTCCACTTCTTATTTACAATGTCACCTGAAAGTGAGAACAGGCATTTTTATGGCACTTTTGTAGCCGGTATTGCAAGGTATTTATGTGCCAGATATGCTAAACATTCATATGCCCCTTCATGCTTTGGCCACCATTACAGAGGACATGCTTCCGTGCTAATGACACTTGTTAAAAAAAAAAAAAAGCGTTAATTACATTTTGAGTGAACTCCTTGGGAGAGAATTGTATGTCTCCTACTCTGTTTTACCCACATTCTACCATATATTTCGTATTATAGCAGTCTTGGACGATGACCCAGCACATGTTCGTTTTAAGAACACTTGCACGCAGATTTGACAAAACGCAAAGAAGGTACCAATATAAGATTTCTAAAGATAGCTACAGCACTCAACCCAAGGTTTAAGAATCTGAAGTGCCTTCCAAAATCTGAGAGGGATGAGGTGCTTTCAGAAGTCTTATCATAGAATATCAGGGTTGGAAGGGACCTCAGGAGATTATCTAGTCCAACCCCCTGCTCAAAGCAGGACCAATCCCCAGACAGATTTTTGCCCCAGATCCCTAAATGGCCCCCTCAAGGATTGAGCTCATAACCCTGGGTTTAGCAGGCCAATGCTCAAACCACTGAGCTATCCCTCCCCCCTGTTCTGTAGAAACTACAGAACCCAAGCCACCAAAAAAGAAAATCAACCTTCTACTGGTGGCATCTGACTCAGGTGATGAAAGTGAACATGCGTCCGTCTGCACTGCTTTGGATCGTTATCGAGCAAAACCTGTCATCAGCATGGACGCATGTCCTTTGGAATGGTGGTTGAAGATGAAGGGACATATGAATCTTTAGCACATCTGGCATGTAATTATCTTGCAACGGTGGCTACAACAGTGCCATGCAAACACCTGTTCTCACTTTCAGGTGACATTGTAAACAAGAAGCAGACAGCATTATCTCCTGCAAATGTAAACAAACTTGTTTGTCTGAGTGCCTGGCTGAACAAGAAGTAGGACTGAGTGGACTTGTAGGCTCTAAAATTTGACATTGTTTTATTTTTGAATGTAGGTTTTTTTGTACATAATTCTACATTTGTAAGTTCAACTTTCATGATAAAGAGATTGCATTACAGTACTTGTATGAAGTGAATTGAAAAATACTATTTCTTTTGTTTTTTACAGCACAAATATTTGTAATAAAAAATAAATATAAAGTAAGCACTGTACACTTTGTATTCTGTGTTGTAATTGAAATCAATATATTTGAAAATGTAGAAAACATCAAAAAATATTTAAATAAATGGTATTAAATTATTGTTTAACAATGCGATTAATTGCAATTAATTTTTTTAATTGGTTGGCAGCCCTAATTTATTACAATATTAAACCTGGTAATGTAGAAATAATAAATATATACAGTTAGTTCTTTTAATAGTTTTAGCATCGTCTCACCTTATCCCAGAAATGTCCCCTCCTGTCTCCCAGATCCAAATTTCCTAAATCAAAACCAAAACCCACCATATTCCAAAAGTGAGAGAATCTCATTTAGCTAGCCCCAGTCTTTCTGGACAGATTTCTGCTGATGTTGCACGTCTGACCAATCAGTAATTCAGATCTTCCGCACTAGGTATGAGACAGCGTGAAAATAAAAGGCCTTTAAATAGCAATGAGCATCTACCATGCCAACACCACAACAGTGAAGCAGCAATTTGAGCCACCTCCCTAATATTGTGTTTAAGTATTAGTGTAGACCTTAAATGATGCAACAACACTCCAGAACATAATGGGGTTATTTGGATTCAGAACGTTAGATTGGGTCCATCTCTACTTTTAAAAACATTTTTAAATAAAAGGAATAAAAAGCAGCCTTGTTCACAGAGAATAATGGAGCACCTTATGGTTCATAATTTACACATTAAGGGCAACATTTTCTTCAGATATGCAGTGGCAGAGCTTGACTGAGAGATCCATGCTTGAAGGGAGCACAAGATCTTAGAACTGAAATCTGTCATGTGGATCAGAGAACAGATTTTTGCCACGAATACAGATGTCTAAGAAAACTCATAGGTTTATTAACATACATAAACATAGTTTAGGAAGCATGTTTATAACAATTACCAAATGTTCAATATTGTTTACAAAATAATTGATTAAATGTATGTAAGAAGAAATTGAATTTTTTTCTAGTTGTAACTGAGGCTTTGGTTGAAGGCAACTTGAATTGTTTCTAATCAATAAAACTGCCACCTCTTTTAGACAAGGCTAACTGAATGCATGAATACCACTGTGCATAGCTGACAAAGACCGAACACTTTTGTGAAAAGACTCTGTAAATTCCTTCCCACAGAAATCAACTAAAGGGTCGGTTGTCCTGGGCTACGTATTCCGTCACTTAAACCTCGTGGAGATAGATTACTTTGGACTGCGTTACTGTGACAGAAGTCATCAGACGGTGAGTAAAAGACACAACAGATTGGATTTCCCAGTTGTAAATTTTACCCTGTTGGTGACCTTTCTCAGTGGTGCGCTTGGCTGTCATACCTTCAATATCTCATGAAAGAATAAGATTTCCAGTAGCAGTTTCTTTAATTTGCCTACTGAGAGGATCTATTTTTGTGTTTCTGTAGAAAGGGCCTTTTTTTATTCTCACTGAAGTTAGCGGAATTTTAGCTATTGACTTAAATGGGAGCAGAAATGTGACAACAGAAAATAAAATAAAAAAAGGTGTTGCAAATGACCAGTAGTAAAATGCTGTATATAAAAAGTAATATTTTAATTCTTCCTGTTAAACTAAACAAACAAGTGCTTAGTCCATGATATTTCCCTGAATAGGAATTCTGTTTGGAAGTGAACCTGTTGCGACTAATTCCTGGACTGGCTAGAGTTGGGGGAAATGTTGGGGGGGGGTGGGAGCAATAGAAGCAGCGTTTGCAGGCATGGCACAAATTGTCTAATTCAGGGCCACTTCCTGGATCACTGTTTTAGAGTGATGTTACTTATTTGGAGGAGGCTTTTGGCTGCCAGGATATATTGAATTGTAGCTGGTTATACCCTGAGAAGAAAGGTGTGTGATAATGACTTTTGGACTCCACATGAACTGGCTCTGTTTTGAGGTGGTTGGGGGGTGGTCTTTTTGATAGGTGTTCTACATACACACAGTAGAGACAGCCCTTCCCCCAAAGAGCTTACAATCTGAATAGATCAGTCAAGAGAAAGGCTTTGTATTATCTTCATTTTACAAAGAGATTAAGGCCTGGTCTACATTTAAAAGTTTTGCCAGAATAATTGCATTGATGAGGAGTGTGAAAAAATCATACCCCTAAATGACATAGTCATGCCAGCCAAAGCCCTGGTGTAGATGCAGTTATACTGGCAAAAAAAAATCATTTTGACAGAATAGCTTATTTCGTTTAGGGAACTGGTATAAATTATACCAGCAATAGTAAATTTTTGCTGAGCGGCATTGCTGGTAGAAGGGAGTTGTTCTAGTGTAGATGAGGCATAAGTGGCTTGTCCTAAATGACAGAGAAAGTCTGTAACAGGGCCAGGAATTGAACCCAAGTGTCATGAGTCCTAGTCGAGCGCCTTAATAACAAGACCAGCCTTTCTCTCTAGTTAATGACTATCTAGTTAATTTAGAATTTTAAAAATGCAGGTAACCTCAACTGTTTCAGGGACAGGGGAAATCTCTGTTAAATGAACAATTGCAGAACCCCATCAGCTCTCCTCAGAACAATCAGGGCAGATTTTTCTCTCTCACACTAGTGTATAAATGAGGAGTAACTTCAGTGAGCTCATTACGGTTACACCTGTATAAAACCTGTGTAGGTGAGAAGGAAAATCAGGCTCTCATGTCTTTGCTAGTTTGTGATTCATAGTGAAATGCTGTTCAGTGAATGGCCAATATAAAGGAAAAACTCCATGAAGTAAATGAGACCTTGCATAAAACAGTAAATGAAAAAATTATAATTTTTCACAGACCTGTTAAAGGTATAACACTAGGGACTGGCATGCGAGTGGTGGGGGTGATTGTCATGCAAGAGACCTAGATTTGAGTCTTCTAGTGTCTCATTTTTAGAGCCCCAGATGTCAAATAGATCTATTTGCTAATTTATTTGAAAACTTTACTTAATGGGATGGAAAGACTCCAAAATAAATATCTGATAGAAAAATGTGTGCCTCATGTTAACACATTACTATTGGAAAGGAATATTCTAACTTCTGATCTGATGGAGTTTTAGAGTATTCTCTAATTAACAGTTTAATGAACAAAACAGTTCAGATGAAATAAGATCCTCCACACACACACTTTAAAACACGCAACAAAATCACTTTTTCTTAAAACTTGAAACATACCTTTTTACTGAGGTTTGAAAAGGTATGTTTAACTATTTCCTCCCATTATTTTTTATTTTTACATATATAAAAATAAACAAACAAACAAAAACACCACGCCATCACCAACTCTGTTAAAATAATATTATTTAATTTGCAAAGTCAAGCACTTGAAAATTAGGAAATGCCACCTTTATGGTTACCCATGCAACCTTTAAACTGTCATCTTGTGTATCCATCCTATGAACTGAGTAAGACAGACATCCAGTGGAAAAAGTAGCATGCTGTCATGTAACTGAAGACTGTATCATAATGCAAACACACAAGAGGGTTGAACTAAGGATGCACAGACAACTGTAAATCTGGCATTTCCTAAATTTGGAGTGCTTGATTCTTTCCTGCAATGAAGGGTCATAGGTCATCAGGAGGGGACCACTGGAGCAGCATGATGGCGAAAGCCATTCTTGGAGCATTTATGGGAATCCACCAGGTTTTAGAAGCTTTAGGGGCTAGCAGCTCAAGCCCGATGAGTCATGGTATACTGAATTAACCATAACTGAGGGAAAGTCTACACTACAGTGCTACATCGGCGCAGCTGCACCACGTCTGGTGAAGACGCACTATGCAGATGGGAGAGCGCTCTTCTGTCAGCATAATTACTCCACCTCCATGAGAGGCGGAAACTATGTTGGCAACAGAGTGTCTCCCACCAACATAGCGTTGGTGTGGACAGCGCTTAAATCGATGTAACTTGCATTGCTCTAGGGGGTGTATTTTTCACACCGCTGAGTGACATAAGTTATATCAACTTAAGCAGTAGTGTAGACCAGCCTTGAAAAAGAAGGCTGTGCTGGTTAAAGAACTAGCCTGGCTTAGAAGGGAAGTGAAAGCAGCTTTAAAAAATAACAACTCAATATAACACAAATGGAGAAAAGGGAAGTTGATAGCAATGAATATAAAATAGAAGCTAGGAATTGTAGAACATTGATAAGGGAAGCAAAAGGACACTAGGTGAAATCTGTGTCCAGCAGAGTTACAGATAATGTTTTTTTAAATCTACCAGGAACAAAAGGAATACTGGCAGTGGTATTGGTCCATTGCCAAGTGGAAATGGTAGAAGCATCAATAATAATGCAGGAAAAGCAGAATTGCTCAGTAAATATTGCTGTTTTGTACTTGGGAAAAAGGCAGATGTTTTATTTATATCATATGTTGATGATGAAATGCTCTCCATTGCAACAATAACTAAGGAAGATGTTAAACAGTAGCTGCTAAAGTTAGACATTTTAAAATCAGCAGGTCCAGATAACTTGCATTCAAGAGCTTTAAAAGAGCAAGGATCTTTCTGGACCATTAATGTTAATGTTTAATAAGTCTTGTACTACTGGGGAAGTTCCTAGGATTGTCAACCCTCCAGGATTGTCCAGGAGTCTCCAGGAATTAAACATTAATCTTTAATTAAAGATTATGTCATGTGATGAAACCTTCAGGAATACATCCAACCAAAATTGGCAACCCTAGAAGTTCCAGAGGGCTAGAAGTTGCTAATATTTGCCAATACATAATAAGGGTAAACTGGATGATCCAGGTAATTATAGGCCTGTTAGCCTGACATCAATTCTGGGCAAAGTAAGGCTGATATGGGTCTTGATTAATAAAAATATTAAAGGAGAGTAATATAATTAGTGCCAATCAACACGGGTTTATGGATAATAGATCTTGTCAAACTACTTAATATCCTGTTGGATTGATAGAAGGAATAGTGTCTAATAGACTTCTGTAAGACATTTAACATGGTACCACATGACATTTTGATTAAGAAACTAAAATGATACATGATCAGAAGGGCACATATTAAACGGTTTAAAAATTGGCTAACTGATAGGTCTCAAAATGTATTTGTAAATGGAGACTCCTCAGCAAGCAGATGTGTTTCTAGTGTCGCCCTGCAGGAATTGGCTCTTGGCTCTATGCCATTTAATATTTTTTTCAAGGACCTGGAAGATGATATAAAATCATTACTGATAAAGTTTGCAGATGACACAAAAATTAGGAGAATGGTTAAATGTATTAGAGAAGCATTCTCTTCATTAGAATGATCTGGGAATGCTTGATAAACTGGGTGCAAGCTAACAATGTGAATTGCATACAGCCAAATATAAAGTCATACATTTAGGAACAAAGAATGTAGGCGTATTTACTGGATGGGGAACTCTTATCCTGGGAAGCAGTGACTCTGAAAAGTATTTTTGAGGGGTGTATCATGGTGGATAATCTGATGAACATGAGTTCCTGGAGTCACACTGTGGCCAGAAGGGCTAAAGCAATCCTTGAATGTTTATACAGGGGAATATTGAGTAAGAGGAGGGAGGTTTTACTACCTCTGTATTTGGCACTGGTGCCACTGCTCCTGGAACGCTGTAGCGAGTTCTGGTGTCCACACTTCAAGTGTGAAACTCCGAGAGCTCAATCTATGTAGTTTATCAAAGAGAAAGTTAAAAAACGATTTGATCACAGTCTATAAATAACTACATGGGGAACAGAAATTCAATAATAAAGGGCTCTTCAATCCAGCAAACTAAGGTATAACTTGAGCCAATTGCTGAAAGTTGAAGCTAGACAAATTTATACTAGAAGTAAAGTGCAGTTTTTATCAATGAGTGTAATTAACCATTGGAACAATTTACGAAGGATTGTGCTGGAGTCTCCATCACTGGACATTTTAAAATAAGATTGGATTATGTTTCTAAAAGATATGCTCTAGTTCAATCACAGCTATGGGACATGAAGCAGGATTTAATTCAGGAAAACCTGGGGCTTGTGTTATGCAGCAAGTTAGACGAGATGATCGGAATGGTCCCTTCTGGCTTTAAAAGCTCTGAATCTCTGAATTAGAACAAAAATTTGTGTGCTATAGCATTGCAGTGACCCCATGTGAGACAAAGATTACAATTTCATAGTAATCTGAGCTTCACGACTAGAGCACCAGATGCTTTGTGGACTGGCAGGGGACAAGTCTATCGATTCCAGTCACTTCATTGATTGACACTGCAGCAAATGAAAAAATTTCAACCTAGTTAATGTTTTGTTTCAAACAGGTTCTGAGCTTTTGACCAAGATTTGACCCTACACAGAAACCTGGCATGAAGCTTTAAAAAAATACTTTTTACATTCATTTAAAGAAAGATAGTTAGGAAATAATATGCATTGCACAGATGGAATTTACTGCACACTCCCCATGTTGCTTTGCATGTGTTTAACCTGGAATAGCTTTAAATATACATAATGGAGCCACATTTTAAAATCCAAGTTAAGAATCAGTAGCATGTGCGCCAACCCTCCAGTGGTTCAAAAGAAGGTGTCGGGGTTTGTTTTTTTAAAACTGAGAATATTAGCAGTCCTGTATTTAGGCTTGAGCTGCACTTAAAAGTTAGGTTGACATAGCTACGTGGGCCCCTGTGAAAAATCCACACCGCTGAGTGACGCAGCTTCCGTTGACGAATGCTTCCGTCGACCTACCTGTGGGGAGGTGGTGTTTCCACAGGTCTTTGCCAGCATAGCTACAGCACAATGTCTTTGCCAGCATAGCTACAGCACAATAGCTATGCCAGTATAGTTCCTGTTGTGTAGAATAGCCTTAGACTTGATGGCCAGTAGGACCTTTGTAACCAACTATGAATGGGTTTTGGTGTTTGGTGACTGAAGCCTAAATGATTTGACATATTGTTTATAACTACATATGGATTCAGATGAAATCTGGATCTGAATACACCCAGACATTATGGCTCCTCCTTTAAGTGTTTAAATATATGGAGGTATACCTATCTCATAGAACTGGAAGGGACCCCGAAAGGTCATCGAGTCCAGCCCCTTGCCTTCACTAGCAGGACTGATTTTGCCCAGATCCCTAAGTGGCCCCCTCAAGGATTGAACTCACAACCCTGGGTTTGTGCAGGCCGATGCTCAAACCACTGAGCTATCCCTCCCCCCTATCCCTGTTCATAATTGAAAGCCCAGATCAGAATTTAAATTTTATGGTAATTATCTCTGTACCCAATACCCAGCAGCATTCAGTGGGAGTCTGTCCATTTTATTTAGTTGCTTTATCTTTTTTGAAAATCTGGCCCATTGTGGTGCAAATTCCTCCATCATTTACACCAAAGTGACTCCTGCATATATTTTTTTAAATTTTACTGTTCCTGAGTCCAATCCTGAAAATTCTTACTCATCATAGTATTCCCACTGGTGTCAGTGAGGAGACTTGGATGAGTAACAGTACTTAGGTCAGGATCAGGCCCTCTCTATGCCTCTGATTTAACCCTGACCCTACTCTCAGATCCTTACATTGACACCCTAACTCCATGAAAGCAAAACATTTCGCAGGATGTAGAGTTGTTGTGGATGTCTGTGAGATGGAGACTGGGGGGGTCATTGGGTTTGGGTCACTGGCTGCCCTGCTCCCAACAGACCCAGATTGAGCCTGGCCAGGCCAAGTCCAGAAAGAGGGAGGGCACAGACAGGGGTGGGGCTACCACAGGAAGGTAGAGCCAAACTCTTCCACCACAGGGAGCCACTGTGTGACACAGCCACCATGCTGCTGGTGCTGAACCTGCACCCAAGGGAGAGTCAGGGACAGTGGGGCAGAGAGGGGCAGTTTGGATGTCTGGGATGGGAAAGGGGTGTCGGGGTGGGCGCTCTGCCTGGGGAGAGGGCAGATGGGGGATGTGGCGGTGGATTCTCTGCCTGGGGAGCAGGGTGAGTCAGGGGCAACGAGGTGAGGTCAGGGTATCAGGAATAGGAAGGGGAGTCAGGGTGGATGCTCTGCATGGGGAGTGAGGGGAGCTACTGGGAGAAGGGCAGTTGGCTCCAGGCTGGGAAGGGAGGTCCGAGCAGTTCGTGTCTCTCTTGCCAGGGGTAGCTGCTCCTGGCTCTGGCTTGATCACCCTGCTTCCTATCTGCTCCCAGCCTGATCTCAGGTGCCATGGTGGCTGTTCCAGCCTCTCCAGGTCCTGCTCTCACCTCTACCCCCAGAAGCTGCGGAGCCCGAATCACCAGTATGGCCATCACAGCACCTGCCCCAGAGGTAGAGGAAGTTGTGACTGGCACGGTTGGTGATATGCACGGTATATGGAAGATTGCTGCAAGGCCGTATGTGTACGCGGTTTCCAGAAATTGTTGGTGAGAAGTAAAGGGCCAAAACATGTTTCTCCGCTCAGTGCCTTTGAATAAGATGGAAGTGAGGTAGCCATAAAAGTATTAAGGGGCCCCATCCCCCGAAGCATCTCTGTAATTCCAGCACTGCCAGTGACCCATTCCCCTCTGGGATCACTACCTGGTGCAGGATCTCCTCCAACTCTTGGGGTGGTAGAATAGAGCAAATGAGCCAGGCCTGGGCTAGGCTCTTGCACCTCTCTTGACCCATCACAAGGACCCAGCAGCCCATCACGCCCTCAAGGATAACAGCCTTTGCATGCTACTAATGAATATGGTTTTATAGCACAAGTGATAGCAATCTATTCTGCAATGTTGAAGGTTCCTGTTGTTGGCCCATAACTGGGGAGTTGTTATACCAAATGTAACCAAATTTGTTTATGCCCTTTTCCTTAAAAACAAAACAAACAAAAACCAATGCCACACCATCTAGGAAATGATATATAAACCTCCCTACATTAAAAGAACATAATTTAAATTGCAAAATCAAGCAATCAAAAGTTAGAAAATGCTCGATTTGTGGTTGCCTAGCAACCTTAATTCAACCCCCTTGTGCATATACATTATGATACAAGATAATTACAAGTTCACATACTGTTTTTTTCCACAGGTCCCCTGCCTCATTCAATTCACAGGATGGATGCCCAAGGGGGCAGAATTAAGATTGCAAAGGCAACTATAAATCTGGCATTTCCTTATGCTTGACTTTGCAACCTAAATGATATTCTTTTTACGTATCTCTTTGTATACAATTGGTACCTATATGCTTATAAAGCTAAAAAGTAGTGAGGACTGTAAAACCTTAAATAATCAAATATAGAGCAGGGATATGCTAGTTCTCAATAAACACATCAGAAAGGTAGAGCTATTTAAGATAAAGGACAATGTTAGCATAAGAACAAATGGGGATAAAGTGGCCTTGAATAAATGTAGGCTGGAAATTAGAAGAAGGTTTCTAATCATCAGAGCAATGAGGTTCTGGAACAAAGTTCCAGGAAAAGTAGTGGGAGCAAACAACCTAACTAGTTTTCAGATGGAGTTTGATAAATTTGTCAATGGGATTATATGATGGGATTGCCTGTGATAGCAGGGGACTGGACACAATGGCCCAGGAAGTCATTTCTAGTCCTATGCCCCTATCTAATCTGGAAACCAGACTCAGATTATAGAGGAATATAGGGCTTGCTGAAATGAGAGAAGTCATATAGTTGTTCTGTGACTGGATTTTGAATTCTACTGAAACTGTAGTTTCAATTGTCTCTTGCAGCGTAGCATAGAGCTATCCATGATGAACAAACCAGTTGGGCAATATGTGTTTTGTGTTATGGTGCAGAGTACTAATCTCAGTAGGAGAAGAGTTCTGAAGTCAGAATGTGGATTGTATTCCATTTTGTACAGTCTTTATTGCTTAGTTTTTGTGTCTGATTGACTTGCAGTCTATTTGTTATTTTATAAGTGGTCCTGCTAACTGGGATTGGTGCTTCTTTATAATGCAAGTTGACAAGAGCTCCAATAGGATGTTTGAACAAATTTATCAAGTGATTTGTTTGTTTTTCTTCCCTCTCACTGTAAACTTAAGAAGGTTTCTATTTTTGGAGGGTTATTGAGGGATAGCCACTGCAAGATTTCTTATTTTGTTTCGGAAGTTTTGTCATAGTGTCAGATGTGTTATCCGTATTCTCCTGAAGCTATCAGTTTTAATTGAATAGGGTTGATATGGGCTTGGTTCTGTAGTCTGCACCAGCTGGGGTGTAAATTTGAATGCACACCAGTGTTTTGTGCAATAACTGGCCCACGTGGACGCTGCTGGCATGCACTAAAAGTTCCCTAGTGTTTGTTACTGTAATCCTATTTCAAACAGTACTACATGAACATGCACATGGGCCAGTAAGTGCGACACGCTGGTGTTCATTAGAGTTTCCATCCCAGCTGGTGTCAGGGCCGGCTCCAGGCACCAGCCCACCAAGCTGGTGCTTGGGGCGGCACCTGGAGGGGGGCGGCGCGGCGCTCCGGCCCCCGGGGAGAGCGGGGCCACGGCCGGGCTCGCCGCCCTCCCCCCTGCGCTCTGGCCGCCCTCCCCCCCGGCGCCCTCCCCCCGGCCGCCGGGGGCGGGCGAGGGCGGGCAAAAAAGCCAGAGCCGGCCCTGGCTGGTGTGGACTAAAGCACCGGGTAGACAAGCCCTGTGGGCTCTAGGAGTCAAGCTCAGGACTGCCAGCTTTAGCTGAGATTCCTAGTTAGCATCTAATAAAGTACAGTTGATTGAATAGACGCAGTGGCTCTTGTAAATCTGAATGTAACGCAGTATTCAACAGCTATTGCTGAATGTGAAAGTGACCATGTCATTCCTCTACTATGACTCCTTCCTTGCGGAAGATGTGTAGGAACACACTTGTCAAGACAATGTTTTTCTCTACTTTGGGTTATAGTTTTTCATTTACAGATTGCAGACTGCAATACTTCAGATTTTTATAGTAATACATATAACCACCACCAACAAATTACTCAGGCTTCTGTGTTTTACCAATATAGAAGAAAAAGTCAATTTCCTTTGGATTAGGCCTTAAATTCATTGTGCCTAATAGTTAACATAATTGTTTGTAATTCGCTCGTACTGAATTTGGGGGAAAATAGTAATATATAAATGTATAATTTGAAGTTAATCTTTAATAGCTTGCCATGGTAAATGACTAATTTCCATATCTATTCTCACAGTACTGGCTGGATCCTGCAAAGACCCTTGCAGAACATAAGGAATTGATAAACAGTATGTATTTCACTTGAACTTCATAAACAGTTACTTGAAGATGAAGAGACAGAGGACACCATATGTGCAGAGTAGTGGGCCTTGATTTTTGAGGCATGACAGATTCATAGTTTCCTGAGCTGTATCAATTTTGCAGTTAATAGCCATATCAAAATTACATACATTGATTGAGTATAATTCCTTTCTCTTACTTAAGGATGTTTCTGTGATTAACCTTTGGTTAGAATAATAGAAGCACTGGTATATGGTATAGTTCTTACTTGTATAATTTAGAATTGTACTGCCTTTGATTTCTCTGCCTTGCTAAGTAACGTGAATGACTTTTTTTCCTTCTACAAGTGGAAAAAATATTTCCTCTTAGGTCCACATTCAAAAATTTGCCCAGGTTTTTTTATGAATTATGTATTGGTGTCACTCTTTAGATATCAAAGACAAATATCCCATAATTTAAAATATTATTTAATAAGGTTAATAATATTTAATAGAAAATTGGAAACATTTTGTAAAAATATTAATAATTAATAATTAATATAGTAAAATCCCAAATAATACAGCCAGATTTTTAAAAGATTTTTAAAAGTGCTTGGCACCAAGCATCTCCCACTGAGTTATGGATGCTGGCTACTTTTGGAAATCTGGCAGGATTTCAAATTACAATTACATGCATATTTTAAAACAAAATATTGGAGCAGCAATTTTGTTTATCTACCACGGTCTGCATTCAGGATTTGCTTGCAACAGATAATACCATCATAACTACCTAGCACAGAATTCCCTGCAGAGTTTTAAATTGTCATCTGCGAGACAGGAAAGTCTTGTAGCTGCTGCAGGGAAAATACAACAGACATCTGAACTCTGGGCTTGGCAGGAGAAGCTGCTTTTCAATTTGTTTTGTACAAAAATGTAAATACACTTACATTTCATGGGCCCTGTGAGGTCAGTGGGACTATATACATGGTAGTAAATTCAATTCCTGGTGGCAGGTATTTGCAGGATTAAGCACGACTCTGCAGGTTGTTACTACCATGTGTATCTTTAATATCACACATAGTCCTACTGCAGTCACTTGGATCAACGGCACATTGGCTGAAGTTGGTGGAAGTATGCATGGGAATAAATATGATCATAACAGGAATTGTAGGATTGAGTTACTGGATTTTATTGGAGAGCTAAAACTTTTAAAAAAGTAAATTACAAAATTCAAAATATTTTACTAGGTAAATAACACATAATTATACTTTCAGTTATTAATTATCATGGGGAATGTTTCACATTGGACACAGTGTTGTACTCACAAATAAATATAAGAAACAATAACCAAAAAAACCAAAAACATCCTGTTCCAACAAAGTTTTTATACTCTGTAAAGGGAAAAGAGACTCCATGAGGAGTCCATTAGGGACTTCACTCTGTGGTGATGGGGGGGGGGGAGGGAGCGGCGGCGGGCTGTGTAAACCCCTTGGATAGATAGGCAGCTTAGTAGCTCTTCTATAATGAAAGATTTTATTTTATAAATATGTACTACAAAAGTTAATTGTTCTCTCTTTCCCGTAGCTGGGCCACCATATACTCTATATTTTGGTGTTAAATTCTATGCAGAAGATCCATGCAAACTTAAGGAAGAAATAACCAGGTATAGTATTGCATATAGTTTCAATATTGGTGATAGGCATATGATGTGGTGATCTGAAATCATAATTAATAAAATTAAGATTGTAATCACATATATGCAGGTGCACACTGCTGCTGTCTTTTTTGTTTGTTTTTGCTTACACACCTGTGTCTGTAAGAAAACTGAGACGAAGCTTGCATTGTTCAGTAAAAACCTGTTTGGAAGATCAGATTGAACCTGTGCTATATGATACATGGGCAGGTGTCAGGGTTTTGTATGGATTGTTGGGAATTTTTCTTTTTTAAGCATGTATTGTCACATTTGGATTTATACATGTCCTGTGATGGATATGCTTCTAGAGAGAGGTTTTAGATTACCTCCTCCCAGTTTGTATATACAAATACGGCTGTAGGGAATACCTGCTTTCCTTTTAATTGGCCATGGTTTAAATTCCAGAACTATTTTTAAAGAAGTGTTTCTCTTAGTCTCTTGAAAAATATGCAAAAGATGTGGAAAAGCAAAATAACATTTATGATTCATTTAAATAACAGTTCGCCCCCTAACAATATAGAAGTACACTTGCATAAACACACACACACACAAGCTTATCTATTGTGTTTTATGTATAAAAGATATCTGGCAGTTCATTTCAGATTCACAAAGAAATTTTATATTCAAGTGACATATTGATGTAGCGTGCTGACTGGCAGTAATAAATACGTGGAAATGTTCCTCTCTTGCTGTCCACATTTATGCTCAAGTGAAACATGACAAGCCAAACTTTATTACAATACACACACAAATTTTCATTTCCTAACCCAAGGTGGTTAATGGTGAAAAATAAGCAAAAATATTTTTCCTGTACTACTAAGATAAGAACGTTTTTTACCATATTGGCATTAGTTTTTCCTCATAGTGACAAAACCTTCCAGTTTGACAAGATTTATATTGAACTAGGAAAAACTAATACTACTATGACTCTGTACAGTGAAAAAGCACGCATTAGTTGCAGTGTAATGCCCCATCTGCCCCGAAAGTTTGATATAGTTTTCCTGTACTTTTCCAGAACCACTTTCAACCCTGCTCACAGGGGAAAAAAGATGGCCCTGGGAAGAGAACTCCGGCAACAGAACCTGCTGTGATTACTACTCTGGAGGCAGGTTGGATTCATATCTGTGAAATGGCAGTTAAGAGCTAAATTTAAAAAAAATGCATTAATTTTGCTTATAACAAGGTCAGTTAATGATTTGCACTGCTTATTAGGTGCATAAATCTATGCCAAAAGCATTTTGGCATGCATGGTGCATTTTTAGTGAGTCTGCGTTTGTGTGTGCAATATGTTTGCTCACACAAAATTTGGGCTTTTTAAAAGTAGGTGGGGAGGGGGCATAGGAAAGTACTAAGCTTATAATTGCAATCTTCAGTAATACATATCTAAGAATCTGCATGATCAAATGCCATCAAACTATTCGAGCCTTTATCTCTTTGGGCTCTTACCATAAACCCTGTAGGAAATAGACACATTTTCAGAAAGAATACTTATGCTAGAATCACCGCCTTCTACATAGAATGGATTAAAGCAATTTTCTTTTCTTTATTGTGATAATTTTCAAACTTAGCTTTGTGATTCCAGTGTTTTGCCACTGTTATCTATGTTTATTTGTGGAATATGGGTCACTGACTTTTCTTTTTTTATGTAAAGTTGTATGGAGCCTACTGTATCTGATGTTAATACTTCTGTCACATTATGTGATTTCTATTTTTGAATAGTAAAAATCTATCTCTTTACACCAGAAATTGATGTGTTCTGTAGGCAAAAATAAATGCTGACTGGTTATCAATATCTCCTGGGTGTGTTTGCCCAAGCAATGTTTAGACACCATTATCTATGCAATTTGGCAGAGCATATGGCGAGCACTCGAGGTACAAGTTTGGACTAGAGGCCTGATCCTAAAAGAAGCTAAGTATCGCCATTGTTCACTGACTTCAATAGGAGTTAGGAGCATCATCACCTCACAGGAGGCAGAACTGATGCTTCTGACTGCAAATTGTGGGGGTTTTGTTTTGTTTTGTTTTTTTAAAAGCTATTTCTTCCTCAAATCCACAGTGAAAATACACACATAAGGACACTTAAGATAAGGCCTCCAGTTTTGCATTTTGTGCTCAAATCAGCATTTTTGTGCCTGAAATGGTGGTTTAGATGTATATACACTGATTTGACAGCCTTTGATTTGAATGTTTATGCCCATTTTGTATTAGTTTATTATCTAAATAATTATTCAAAATGTATTATTTTCCCATCCACATTAGCTTTACATCTTAGCAAAAGATTATTTTTTTGCCCACCTATTTTAGAATATTTAGTTCTAAGTTCCCTTTCATGCAGAATATGATTTCTAGTTTTAAATAACTTTTCTCTGATGATTTGTCCCATATATTGTCAGATCTATTCCCACAGTCTATCACCTTTGTAAATACTGTCCCTGCATTAAATGGTGTCATATGCTTCTGGCAATAACGTGCAGTGCTAAATTGTATGTATTTTGTACTGTATATAGAGCCAAGTAGTTAACATTTTACAGTGAAGGATGGAGGCAAATCAGTGGAGCCAACATGTACCTAAAAATGGGGGGTAATTAGAATTTTTTTAAAAGCAGGTTAAGTTGTTTTTGTCTTACTTTAGATTATGCTAACTGTGAGGATAGATATGTATGAATAAAATGTGAGGTGGTTAAAATGACACTTTTCAGAACTCAGGGGAAACCGTGCATCCCTGCACTTCTGTAATTACTAGGGAAATCCCAAAGAACTGGTGGAAAATATCCATATCCAGGCGAGCTGTAGACAATGGCTGTGCAGCAGGCTACACATAGTAAGGCCATACTCAGTCTTGTACAACTGATGGAAATGCGAGGGGAGGAGATATATATTGGAAATGAACTTCATTTCTAATCTGTCAGCCAAGAGAGATGTTGTGAGTTCCACAACACCCCTAAATTTCTTCTCTGTCACCATAATTCATTCAAAGAAAAGTCTGCCTGTGAGTTAGAATTCTAAGGAGTAATAACGATCGTGCACCCTGTGTTTCCTGATACCATTGTCATGAATCCTTCTCACTATATAAGGCATTTGGTCCTGGGAAGAAGAGAGGCTTAGATAACTGTGCATTTTTCCTCTCCAATAAGAAATAGGGTGCAAATGGCACAGCTGTATATCCTGGAATGCCCATGATGTCTGTGGGGACCATCAGCAAAAGAAGCTCATTTGGGCTGGAAGGATCCCAGATTAAATAGCAGTGAAAGGTCCTTGAACACTGACAATTTTTATTTGAGCTTGACAAAGTAATGCAAAGATTATTTGCCACATAATTTGCAGTCTGGATTGCCAAAAGACAAAAATATTTCAATAATTTACTATGAACACATAGAAAGTACCAAGTATTTACAAGAGTAATAATGATAATGCAATAATAAATACAAAATAAACTTAATAATAATAATGTATAATGCAGTTATTTGGCTCTGTAAAATAAATGAGTTCCTGAATAAGGGAAGTTCAGTATGTAAGTATGACCAATTTGTGCCTGTATAACAAAAAGATCTTTTAAAAACTGTTTTTGTAAGAAATCACTGATATTCTTTCAGTATGATGTGATACGGTATGACATATATCCATTTGGTATAAACAGCATTTAAAAATATTTCCTTTAAATGTACTAGAGTATCTGAAAAACTGAACTAGATAACTTGTTTTCTTACCTACTATTACTCTGATCCTCTCTTTTGTTCATATTGTTTTATCAGGAATTCAGTGTTCATGTGCTAAAGAGGGGGTATCAAATACTCTCATTTAATTTATACCAGCCTGTGTGAGCTGTTTACCATACATGTTTTTGATGTGTGCAGTTGTGATTAAGGAAGTTGTATGCAATACATTTTGTGAATATGGGGCAATATCAGAGCTTAAAGGGACACAGTCAGCTTAAAATGTTGTCAGTTAAAAAATATTCTTAGAAGTCACTTCAGTTACTACCCTTGCCCCTGACTCCTCTTGCTAAGTTTGGGCTCAGTTGTGGCTTTACCATGAGCCCTGGGTAAGGGGAAGTGCATTGTGCTGCCCCTGGGGCAGATTTGGAAGCAGATTGAGAGTCACAATCTACCCTCCTGGTTTCCTCCAGCTCTGAGGGGGAAGTACTCTGCACTAACAAAGTTACGTAGCCCAACTGGCTGGTGCATTGGGAGGCAGAGCCATGGCCCCACTTCTTCCTGCCCACCTGCAAGTGGAGGAATGGAATATAGTGGCCCTGTGGTGTCTATTTTTCCTCCCACACTTGCTGGCTGTGGTACATCAATGCTTTTTGGGGTGGTCTCTTGAGGGGCCTCAGCTTCTCCTGACTGATCCTCCTATGTTTGCTCTCAGTCAGGTAAATTCTCCAATCGTCACCTTCAATTAAGCCTGTCAGACCTTCACTTTTTGGGCTTGCCATCTCTTTCAGTCTCCTGGCTGTTTTCTTGGAGGCAGCCTAGTGCAAAGCTGTCACCACCTTGCTATCCAAGGCCTTAGTGCCTCCCTTTCCTTCTCTACAGTCCTTCCTTTACAGCAGGCTCTGTTTCCGTTATTGGTTGCAGCTGTGGATGCCTGCCTCCATGACTGGCAACTGCCTGGGGTTGTGATCAAGCTGCTTGCTTGTAAATGGGAGAGACTTTCCTCCCGCCTCTGTCTGTGTTCAGTATGGGGTTTGGAGACCCTGTTACAAGCCCACACAAGCAAGTAAGCAAGTGCCTTATTTCCTGTGTCTCCCTTGTTCTGCTCCACTAGCCAGGGCAAAATTTGTCCCTGTGTGGGTTTACAATCATATTTTCCTGTTTGATTTTAAAAAACGTTTTCTCTTTCCTGCTGCTGTCTGAAAATCCCACACAAACTAGGGGAACCGTCTCTTTCTAGGGAAATTGACTATCACAATGTGCTGTCAAATGCACAAAGGAAACAAATTGGAAAACTAGAGAACTTTTTCCTCCTCCAGTCTTTCAGTGATGATAATCGTGATGTTACTTGAACATTAATAGTAAAAAAATTGTTGTAGAATATGCAAACGTGATTTTTGAGTTGACCATGCCACTTTAAGCTGAGCTACAGACCCTCCCCCCACCATAAACCTGAAGGCAGTAAAATGTTACTGAGTACACCAGAATCCTTAATATTGAACTAACAACTTCATTTTCTCTCTTTGTTTTAGGTATCAATTTTTTTTGCAGGTGAAGCAAGATGTTTTGCAAGGTCGCATGCCCTGTCCCATCAACATTGCAGCTCAGCTGGGAGCATATGCAATTCAGTGTGAGTTCTTCTGACCAACTGATCACTTTTGTTTTGTTAATGTTATGATTTATTCCAAATATTGCCACCAAATGGAGACTTTAATCTAAGTCTTTATATGTTAGTTTAAAAGAAATTAAATTACAGAGACTAACAGGAGAATTATAAATAGGTGACATTTCAGTACAGATTCTATAGAACCAGTTACATGAATTTTAAATGAAGATATTATGGACTCTTTTCTGAAATATCTGGCAGTTACTGATGGTTGAGTTACCGAGACTGTCCACAGAGAGAACTTTTTATCAGTGCTTGATAACATTACAAGTCAGGGTATGTCTATAGCCCAATATTATTTATATCATATTTTCTATTTCATCAAACAATGTGTAGATCTGAAGGGCCGGCAGCAGCCTCCAGACAAATCTGTTGGTCATCCAAAATGATGCAGTCCTGCAAAACCCACATTATGTCAATTCTAACACTTGAAGATAATGAAGGGGAGGGATGTGTTTTGACTTGAAACATGGAGTTTTAATTCTACAGTTCACTTATTGGCATGCACTTGAGAAGCAGATTTCATGAGTGCTAGTATATCCCATGGATTTGATAGAGCAAACATGAACTACTTCACATGAATGGAAAGTTAGTAAGAAGTAAGATTTTGCTCATCTTTGGGCTAAAATCAGATATCCAAATGCAAAATTTGGCAGTCAAGGATATCGTGGATTTATGATATTTTCTTGGGAACTATGCATAGAAAACTCATAATTTACAGTTTTCATCTGTGGCAGGTACTAAGTGAAGATTATCCAGTTTATCATTAATCCAAATATGATTCAGTAGCAGCTACCTAATACAAGCTGAAAATATTCTTTCTTTAATTTCAGTTTTAGAACAACATGTTTGAGAGATCACAACAGAATGAAATAACTTATTGAATGTAAAAGGAGATTAGAGACTTTCATGGCATATGACATGACTCTCAGGAAAGTTAAAGCATGTCACATTCTGAGGTTTTTTTTCACTGACATTTCCCCAACTATGGAAGGAGATATGACCCAACCCAGAAGGCTGTTTGTGATAGGCCTTTCACTTCAATGACAGTTGTGCCTTGACTGTGAAATATTACAATATATATTGGTCAGGTATATTGTTTTGCAGTGGTTGCATCAGCTTCAAACAGATTATGAGAAATAGGAACAAGTATATACTCTATTTCCCGGTCATAGGCATAGTGGCTAAACTGTGGGAATCTGCAGCTTTAGTCAAAGATTGTTTATAGGATATTAATCTCAGTGACCAATATTTCTTTCTTTTAAATGCCACAAGGAAATAGCTAGAAAAGTTCATTTTGGATAGGAGAGCTAGAACAGGTACACAATAGTTACGAAGGGCTAAATTCAGCCCTGGCAGAAATAGGCATATCTTCCATTGACTTCATAAGAAGTTATGCCCTCTTACATCAGGGCTGAATTTGACAAAAAATATGCAAATAGAGACCCTCACATAATGCATATTTTTGTGTGAAACATTGAATTTATAAGACAGAAGCACTAGCACAGGAATCCCATCCATAGGCTTGGCAACAACATAGAGTGCAGTATGCACTATACATTCGGCAAGCCTTACAGCACACAGAGATACACCTACTCTATTGTGCACTATTAAAGTGCACAATGAAGCCCAAAGTTTGGTACTGCCTTTACTCATGTTAAGTAGCACTTACACAAATTATCCCATTAACTTCAGTGGGGTTATTCAGATAAATGTTACCCAATGTAAATTAGAATTGTAGAATTGAGCCCTGATTATGCATTTAATATACAGCTGTTTGCAAGGATATAAAATATGATTGTGGCTCATTAGACAAATAGTTTGTCACTTTTGCTTGTATATGCAAATTCCAGGGCACTCCCAAAACAATTATTTTAAAATGCATAATCATTGATTAAATTTTAAAACAAAGTCCCCATATTTCTTTTAAATACATTATTTTGATTTTTAAAGTGAATTTAGTGTTCAAGAAATGTACTGAAATTAATGGAGACTGAAGTCTTTCGTTTACCTATAGGTACTTCAGCTTTCTTCTCAAAGGACTACCTCTAAGCTTGACAGGATAGTTACATCTCCATTCTAATTCAGTCCTTGACTTCTCTGCTAGGACTCCCAACCAGGATACCAGTCAATGCCCATTTGAATGTTCGTTTTTATTATATGGGCACAAATCTTCTAAGAACTGGACTCAGCACATCAATTCATTTCACATGCGCCACAAAGTAGCGTATTGTAGCAATTATTTCTGACCTAAACTAAATTAACTCCAGTTCTGCAGAGGTGACAAACTTCATACCATATTTCCTAGCCCTTGAACCTTCCCTTTCTCTAAAAATCATGTTACTAATGAAATTGCTCCTCCAGTCTTGCATGAATTGGTCTACCCTGCTTTATTAATAAACTAATATAAAGGCAAAACATTGCCATGCATTTTTCCTCTCCAGTAAAAAAAACATAGTTTTCTTTTACCTATTGAGTGATGAGCTCATAGAGTTACTTGGGAAGAGGTGCAGTGGCACATGCAGATTGGTTAGACAATACATCTTTTGGGTAATGGGAAAATGTTTGAAAGTTGTGACAATTTTTTTTCTTGTGCACCATAGCTGAGCTGGGAGACTATGACCCATATAAGCACACTGCAGGTTATGTGTCAGAATACCGATTTGTTCCAGACCAGAAGGAAGAACTGGAAGATGCAATAGAACGGATACACAAAACTCTGATGTAAGAATTCAGTTTTGTTACTATGCCTGGGAAATCATGTGCTACTGGTGCTAAGTAGAAAGAAAGAAGGAACTGATATATTGTCACATATCTTTATTATGCCAGAATGAAGGTCTGCAGAATCTGCTAGTGACATGAAACATCCTTTTATGCTCGTCAGAAATCTAAAATCGAGATAATACAGGGGGAGTGGCTATATTAAGAACTGTTTAGAAATATAACTAGAATAGATATGGTACTTTAGGTGCCTTTAGTTAAAACATTTCTAAAAATACATATAAATGTGCAGATTATCCACTCTGAATTTTGCAGTGGAGGGGAATGAAAGTATCTTATGGTTAAGGTACTGGACTGGGATCCAAGAAATTTGGATTTAGTTCTCAGCTTTACCATAGACTTCTTGTGTAATTTTGGGCTAGTCACTTAATCTCTCTGTGCCTCAGTTCCCCATCTTCTCTCGATATGTGTACATACAGCACTTAATACTGTGGGCCCCCTTTTCCTTGCTAAATTGTTAGCTGCTGTAATGGAGCCTCGCATATAGCAATCTTCATGGAACATAAAGGAAGGTTTGCAGTAGGGAAGAGTTTGGAGAAGGCACAGGAAGTTAGTCTGTGTACACAAGAGTTGAATGCTAAATAGTTCTCTTAATAAAGAGTTCTCTTTTATATTTATAAGCATGCTGTCCTCTCATGTTATTACCTAATACACAGAACATGAAACAACGCTTATCTTCCCAGTAAGAACTGATCAACAAGTTGCTTTTATGACTGTTGCACTATATCCCCTTCTTCTTAATTTTGTTTGAGGTATTAAAGGGTTATATGAAAAGACTAACATTCTTGTATGTAGGTGTAGATACCCTGATGCTTTTGCTACCTTAAAAATACATGTTTTGATAAATGCCAGGTAGGGCCTTGCAGCTAGTAGTTTCTGCAGATTGGCATTATCAATGTCTTGCTTAATGAGAGGAGATGTTAACTTCCCTCAAATATATAGAGGCATGCCCCTCCCTGAACATTCATCCCTTGACATTGGGGTGCTTGCCAGTCAGCACCTTGACTTGAACCTTCCCCTTTTAGGGGAAGGTATCTATTATTATTTATTTCTATCTATGTATGTAGCCCTCATCACCTTTTTGTCTGAGTGTCTCATAATCACTAATATATCACTAGTATAGTCTTCTTATAACTTCTCAGTGCAGCAGAGAAGTACCATTATTCCTATTTTAAAGATGGGAAACCAAGGCACAGAGAAAGTGACTTGCCCAGTGTCACACAGGAAATCTGTGTCGGAACCAGGAATTGATTCCAAGTCTTCTGAGTCCCTGGTCAGTGCTTAACTGAGGACATTATTTCCTCCCTGTTTGTATTGCAGTAGTGCCTAGAATTCCCAGTCATTGTGCTAGACCCATTGTGCTAGGCTGTGTGCAAAGTAAAAGACAACCCTTGCCTTTAGATAACTTAGTTCTAAAGGCAAAACACACAGGGGTGTGTGAAACAAATGGGGATAAATGAGTGGTGATGGAGGACAGTTATGTTAATAAGAGAATGTTTTTACATATATTTTGCACAATGTGTAGGTTTAATAAGCCAATCCGTAGTTGTAGTATTAGCTTGCACCTGCCTAGCCAATATTAGCCTGCATGGGCTTGTAGCATCAAGGCAAAGGGTGAGACTAAAGGAGGGATCTGAAGGTGGATTAGAGGAAAGATCATGCTCGATCATATAGATTTTTTAAAAAAGAAATTACAAGCTTTTGTGTGGAGATGGAGAGGCAGGTCCAAAGGAGGGAATCAAAGGTGGCAAAATGTTGGCTGTTTTTGTGGATGTGGAATTCAGTGAGGGAGAAATAGAGCTGTTTGGTTAAGAAAGTGGTAGAAAAAAAGAAAAAGAGGGAATTTGCAATTAACACAATTAGTATGGTTGCTGTGGGACTTCCATTAAAGACATTCAGCAGCACAGGAACAAGAGCAGAGGAAACAGATGTTGGAGGTAAGCCATGGGTAAGAGTGGGAAAGGTTAGACGTTCTGATGGGAGAGAAGGGCAAAGGAGTCAAGATTGGAGGAGAGAGTGGAATGGAAGGAATCAGTGGAGGAGAGATAAGGAGGGGGGCTTAAGGGTGGAAAAGAAGTCATAGATATAGATGTATTGGAAATCATGGAAAGATTAGGAAGCAGGGGGATGAGGCCGGGGGCAGGTTGACAGTGCTAAAGACAAGAAGGTGGTTATGAGAGAGGGAATGAAAGTGATCATGGAGAGAACAGTGCTTAGTAAAAACAAGTTCTTCATTGAGTGATGGTCCCTATGTGTATTCCAAATGCGGGTACCCATGCATGCCATGCGCTGGAGCCAGACATTTTCAGTACAAGTGTCCAATGACCTGCATGTACGTCACACATTGCCTTGTGGTCCAGCCTAGGTTATAAGAGGTCATGGAGGGCGACGCTCCTTCCGTTTCCTCTTATTGCCGCATGGTCGGGGTCAGAATCCTCTCTCCACACTCGTAGTTCGCCTACAAGGGCACTTGTCGGGGAACTATGCCCTGCGTCCCTGGGTTCAAGGACTGAGTGTCATGCCCTCACTCAGTCTCAGTGAGCAACGAGTACTTCCACTGCTTGGACTGCTTGAGAAGGTGCATCTCATTGCGGGCTGTGAAATCTGTCTGCAGACCTGTGAGGCTCATCTCCTGCGACTCCAGAAGTTCCTCAAGCAGGAGGCTCTCTGACCATATGTGGAGTCCAATCTGGGACTGGCGGAACCGATGGTGCCTCATCCTTCACCAGTGATGAGTGCCACACCAACCACTCGCGCCCTGATCCATCAGCACCACCGGCACAGGACAATGCCAAGCGAGAGGGTCATAAGTGCTCGCATGGCCCTCACAGCAAGTCCCTGTCATGGACTGCAGCGAAGCACAGCATTTCCTCCCCGAGCTGTGCCAGGTTGCACAAGAAGTCATGTGCAGATCCGATCATGCCACCTCCTAAGCTTACCCATGCAGAGTGTAAAAGCAAAAGGAAGAAAGAAGTATTGGCATCACTAGCCACTGTACCGGCTGTACCAAGGGACAGCCCTCCGCAGCATGCACCCCCGGTGTGACCGGAGTCCCCACGCTCCTAACTGCACATGCCCCCCGTCGAACCACTGCTCCCAATGGTGCACTTAGACCTGCCATATCCACTCTTGCCGCTGCTCTCGGCACTATAGTCCCCCGATGGATGCACCAGTTATCCTGGGCTAGAGTCCACACCTGGCGATTGCAGGACCACTCACACCGACGGCTCCCCTCTACCTGAGATCTCTTCAGACTGCGACAGATAGCAGAGGAACCGCATTCTCTCCAGTGTCCAGGCGCAGCTCAGACTCCCGGGCATGATCACTGCACCAGGCAGGGTGCGCTTTGGCACTGCCACCTTGATACACATATCTTTAGGGTCCGTAGTACCCCAGGACCCAACACCTTGGGCACACTGGCCGCCATGGGACCCATACCACCCTCTGTACCTGTCATCACAGGCCTCAGATTCTTCCATCCGAGTGCCTGTGCTGGAACCATTCAGCTTGGACCCAGAGGCAGACATGGAATGGGAGCCAATCCCACTGGTTCCGCCAGGACTGCCAGCTGCCGCCTCCTCTCCCACCGATGCATTGATTCCCCCAGTCCTCTTGCCTCCTGATGATCATGGGCAATACCAGGAGCTGCTGCAGAGGGTAGCCCTGGGCTTGGGCATACCTTTGGAGGAAGTTCTGGAGCAACACCACCAGCTGGTGGACATCCTCCAGACCAGGGGACCATCTCATATTGCACTGCCCATAAACCTGCACGAGCAGTCTGGCACATACCAGCTTCCTGTGCCCCCATGCCTAAGAGGGTGGAACGCAGCTATTTTATCCTATCCAAGGGGGATGACTTTCTTTTTTCCCACCCCACTTTGCTTGTGGTACACGCGGCGACTGAATGGGCGAGGCAGCACTCCCATATCTCCTCCTCCCCTCCCCCCCCGGATAGGTCAGCAAAGTGCCTTGACCTCTTGGGCCACAAGGTTTACTCCTCTGAGGCCCTGCAGTTCTGCATATCAAAGATCTGCTTGCCAAGTATGACTTTAGTAACTATGCCAAGCTGGCAGAGTTCCTGGAGGATTTGCCACAGGACAAGCAACAGCCATTCCAGATTCTAGTGGAGGAAGGCCGCCTGACAGTCAAGGTTAGCCTCCAAGCTGTGGTGCATGCAGCAGATACATCCTCCCGCTCTCTTGCCCCGGGCATCGTCGTATGATGAGACTCCTGGCTACAATCCTACAGCTTCCTCAGGGAGGTCCAGACCACGATCAAGGACCTCCCCTTCAATGAAGACAAGTTGTTCTTGGTGAAGACGGATGAGTCCCTCCATTCCCTGAAAGACTTAAGAGTGACATTCCAGTCTCTCGGGATTTACACCCCAGCGCTCTGTTGAAAGCAACAGAAGCCATCTTTCTGACCACGCTTCTTGCACCCTACCAGCCCGCTTATGGCCAGTATCAGGAGCCTGCATAACAGCCTCCCAAGATCACAGCATCCGTGACCATCAGCTACTGCCTCCTCCTCAGCTGTACTACAGCATCAAACAAAGGCTCAGTTTTGACATGCATATCGAGAGCTACGAGCTCCCCACATTGCTACCTCCGGCCCCCCAGCACCACCTTTGGGGTCCTCTTGCCCTATTTGACCACAACTGGGTTGAGATCACCATGGACCATTGGGTACTAGAGATTGTACAACATGGTTACTCTATCAAGTTTCTTACCTTCCCCTCCCACAGCCGCCCCCAGCACCTCCTGGGAGTCTCTCTCATCACAGCCTCCTACGTGAGGCAGACAACCTCCTGAGGAAGGGTGTGATCTAACTAGTGCCTGACCTCTTCGTTGGCAAGTGCTTCTACTCCTGTACTTTTTCATCTCAAAAAAGGGAGGTCTCTGCCCTGTACTCGATCTCTGACTACTCAACACCTTAATCAGGAA